AAGGAGAAGAGCAGCTCATTATTAGCTGTGGATTATCCTCCCAGTTATGTTACATAGCTTGCATGATTATATTTCCAGGTAATAACACAAAAGCAGAGGAGATAAACTAGCATTCATATTTTAGGATGTTTTGGTCATTGTCAGCCATCTATTCATCCATCCATGAATGTCGCAGGAGAGCCTAGAGTCTATCCCATTGAACTCTGGGAACAAGGTGGGGGATAAAATGGATGGGGTGCCAACGCATCGAAAGGCACAATCGCACACACATTGAAACACCTACTCACACTCTATGGACAATTTGGAAATGCCAATCAACCTACAGTTTGCATGTCTCTGGACTGGGGGAGTACCCGGAGGAAACCCCCGTAGCATTGGAAGTGCATGCAAACTCCGCACACAGAGGACGAGAGAACGTATTCAAACCTCCAACACTGGAGGTGTGAGGCAACTTTACAGATTTAGATTTAGATCCCTAAGGAGCTAACCAGAGACAACAATGGTGAGATGACATGAATAAAGAAACCTAGGTATGAACCAGACTCAAAAAGGAACCCATCCTCTTCTGTGTAACAATGGATAGTGACATTACAAATAATTTCTCTTCCACATTTAAGTACTGTACTGCACATGAAGTCGAACAATAAGTGTGCTGAAAGTATGATCCGTTTGAGTGTCATAGTTTGTATCTACAGTATCCAGGTGAGATTAACCACTGAAGCCAGGGCAAAACTATTTTTTTTGGAAATGCACATCTTTATGGTGTCCACATGGGACCATCTCTACTGTCACTTTAATAATAACATCAATATTAGCAATAATAGCTGAAATCTTTGGCCTATCTTCAATCAATGCAAGTAAGTCATCTGCTGTTCATTTATGTGGTCTGCCCGTATAAGCCAGAGAGAAGAACCTCTGTGCCAAGAAGTTTCTTAATTGCTTACTACAACTGGATCCTATTGATATTTATTCTTTAGCGGCTGGTTATAGAACCAAGAGTAGTCATAGAAAAACATCACAGAGCATCTAATTTACCATTCAGAATGTAAAGACAGTTTAAGTCTGAGTGTTCTTTTTAGGCCCACTGCTTTTTTATTGATATATGCTCCCTCATGGTGGCTTAGTGGTTAGCACGTTCGTCTCACACCTCCAGGGTCCGGGGTTCGATTCCTGCCGGGGCCATGTGTGCGGAGTTTGCATGTTCTCCCCGTGCTGGGGGGTTTCCTCCGGGGACTCCGGTTTCCTCCCCCAGTCCAAAGACATGCATGGTAGGTTGATTGGCGTGTCTAAATTGTCCATTGTGTATGAATGTGTGAGTGTGTATGTGATTGTGCTCTGTGATGGACTGGTGCCCTGTCCAGGGTGTACCCCGCCTTGTGCCCTTGTGGATAGGCCTTGTGGATAGGCTCCAGGTTCCCCGTGACCCTGAAGAAGGAATAAGCGGTAGAAGAAGGATGGATGCTCCCTCTCTGTCAAATTATTCGTAAAACATAGAATTAGCTTCCACTGTTATGCTGATGATACACAGCTGTATGTTTCAGCGAAGCCAGATAACACACAGCAGCTAATTCTAATTTACCATTCAGAATGTAATGTTGAGGAATTTGTAAAGGACATTACCCATTGGATGCTTAGTAACTTCTGCTTACTTAATTCTGACAAGATAGAAGTACTTGTACTTGGACCACGTGTAGCTTGAAATAAGCTTTCTGATCTCATACCAAATCTGAATGGACTTTCTGTTTTGTCCTGTGCAGCAGTATAAGTGTGCTGGTGTGATTATTTACTCCAGTCTTTAATTTGACGCTCATGTAGATAATATTACTAGGATAACCTTCTTCCATTCTAAGATAAGAAATATAATGTCACTACATGATGCAGAAATATTAATTCATGCTTTTGTAACTTTTAATTCATGCTTTTGTCACCTCTAATCTAGATTTTTGTAATGCCTTACTGTCTGGCTGTTCCTGTAGGAGCACAAACATGCTCCAGTTTGTCCAGAATGCATAAGCAAGACTCCTTACTAGAACCAGAAAGTATGACCACATCACCCCGATCTTATCCACACTGCATTGGCTCCCAGTGAAATCCTGCATTAATTATAAAATACTACTACTGACCTATAAAGTACTAAATGGTTTTGCACCACAGGACCTAAGCAAACTTCTTCTATGATCTGCCCTACCTCTGGATGGAGCTCTCATCAACTGGAGGCTACAGCCTGGAGATTGCTTAGGATGGTACCACTTGAAGTACCATGGAAATGATTTTGGACTTCAATTCCACATGGACATGTTTGCTGTGGTTGCTGGGACTATGGTTGCTACTATGGCCTTGGTACTGCAATTGCCACATGCAGTTTTGCACTCAGGTCTCCTTTAGTGAACAGTGGGTTAGTTCAACAAAGACTTCATGCAAAAACCATAATGAACTTCCTTTTACTTTCACACTATCCGTTGTTACCCAGATGAGGATGGGGTTCACTTCTGAGTCTGGTTCCTCTCAAGATTTCTTCCTCATATCTTATGGAGTTGTTCCTTGCCATCGTCGCCACCGGCTTGCTCAGTAAGGATTAATCCACATCTGTATTCTTTGTTTATATATTTCTGTAAAGCTACTTTGAGACAATGTCCATTGTAAAAAGCACTATACAAAAAATGTAATTGAATTGCAATTTTAATTGTTCTTACAGTAGTTTTAAGTGTGAGTTAAATTGCTCATAAGGTTAAGCCTGCTAACTGGATTTGGAAACAAATATTTTTTGTTAATCTATTCTCAATTTAAAGAGAGAACTACTGTACCTCTAGCACTTAAATAAGCCATAAAGACAACAGTTAAAAGCTCTCAATTAGAATCAGCACGATAACGCACCTAGTTACAGATTTTATAGAGAGACAGTTATACAGCCAGCCACAGGATGGCACTGTTGCTCTGCAGAGTTACTTAACAAACAAATGGCTATTGGGAAAGTATGTTTTTCGTTCTCAGGCTGCAACGGCCTCAATCCAGGCCCTGTTTCATCACAATATTTAAGACACCCTCGCCAACTCGTCAACATTTCCCCTTAGGAAAATTCCTGCTACTGTCTAAAGGGCGGTTAATTATTTTTTCAGCTCTAGTAATGTTTGCGAGACGATCCCTTAGAGGCTTAAGGGATCAAGCTAACACCAGTGCAGTGTTTAGGAACTTCCCCCGAAGGCACTGTGTTGTGACGTAATTATAATTTTTAAAGAGCTTCTGAAAAAGCAAAATGTCTTAAATATCCAAAAGTCTGAAAAGGAGTAATACAATAAGCCTACTTAATATTTGCTGACATTATCCTGCCTTCGACTAAAGCTTGTAACTCAATCTCCGACTAGGAAAAACCAAAGAAAATGGCCCCTCAACTCACAAATTCCTACTTGGAAAAGTGGCAAGGTAGCTCAGCACGTGTCATCATGTCAACATGGCTGCTCACACCATCAACACTAAATAAAATATCAGTTCACTAGTTTAAAAGACTTTATAGTAGCATTTACTCTTAATCAATCCATCAATATAGATACATTAGTTAGTTCAAGCTAAAACATTGGCCATACAGTTTTGAGAAAGTAAATATCATAAACTCATGATCACTAATGTTAGCTGGCTAGCTTGTTGCTAAAAAAGTGTGACTTTCATGGTGAAATCAGTTTTTCTCCCCAGCACTTTGTAGCTTGAATGTGCCAAGCTTGAGAATGACATAATTCCCAGTTCAGACTTTGCATTTATGAGTTAAATTGAGAACAATCAAGACAACAGAACGCTTATATTTGTTTAGCAAATGTTTCTGTTATGTTTAAGTTAATAGGGCTAGGTAAAAAAAATTTCGATTCTCTGAATTTAATCGATCTTCAGTTTAATGAAACAATATCGATTTTGGAAATCCCTGAATCGATTCTTAATGCTTTACTTGAGAGGATGTGAATACTACCCGTAGTTCGCCTCTCGTCCTGAAGATGTCGCCATCTTTCATGTTTTTAAATATGAAAATTTCTTAAACAGGTTTCAAGTTGTTAATGAATTTCACTGTTGCACATTTACGATGTTTTTTTGTTTGTTTTTTACAGTCATGTGCAGTGTGCAGTTTGTGCTTACCTTGTGTGCACTTACAATGTTTGTTACTCAAAGTAAAAGTAAAAAGCAATTAAACATAATTGCATGGGCCCTATTGTTAAAGTAAATGTCATATTTCAGTAATATAGCTAAGTAGGAGGGTTTCAGTTACCAGCATTTATATTAAAACATGTCTGCAAAATGAACATTTTAAATGAAATATTGATAACTAATTGATATTGAATTGAATCTAATCGCCAAATTGGTGGCAATACCCAGTCCTATAAGTTAACATGAATTTATGGAAAATTGTATGTCAAATCTGTAGATACTGAAAGTTCTGCTTCCCATTAAACACTCTTTCCAATTGGCCCGCAAATGGCCTCCCATGCGATGTTGGTGATGCACACTTCCAAATTATAAAGGAAGGCAATGAGGGCATGTTGGAAATGAGGAAGAAAACAACCCGGGCTACTGTATACATCTACTGCTTGAATCGCTCCCACTCAATATGCACCAATTTCACACATTCGCACATAGGCTACTATGTAAGTCAGGCAGGAGGTGTATATTGGTTTGTGACAGCACTCTCTGTCAGGAGCCCATGGATGATCACTGTCTCTGTTTTATATCAGCATAAATTCTCTACATGATACCACTCAGTGGCCAGAGGTTGTAAGTGACCCTAATTCAGCCTTATGCAAGCACTGCAAAACGCCTGACCTAGTCATAAAATGTATACACTTTGAAAATAAGCATTTTTTTTCAGCACTTTTGATTTCACCATAGTCTCAGATTTTTACATTAGATTACATTTATGGCATTTGGCAAACAATCTTATCCAGAGCGTCTTACATTTATCTCATATATACATCTGAGCATTTCAGGGTTAAGGGCCTTGCTCAAGGGCCCAGGAGTGATAGCTTAATGGTGCTGGGATTTGAACTCAAAACTATCTGATCTGTAGTCCAACGTCTTAACCACTAAGTTACCACTGAACTTGTATGGACACACTGTAGGCTGCTGTCTACTTACAAGTGATGTCAGTAGTCACATACCGCCTTTAAAGTACTTAGTGAAAGGCACGTAATAGTGAAATGTGTGTGTGCGTGTGTGCGTGCATGTGTGTGTGCCTGCGTGCGAGTGTGTGTGTGTGTGAGAGAGAGAGAAATAGCACGACCAGGAGAGAGCTCTGCCATAATCAAGGTCAAACCAACCATATGGCTGGAAAATCTGTGTCAAAAAGCTTTTTTTTTTTTTTTTTTTAAATCTTTTTTAATTCTCCTAAATAAATGCTGTATTGTACAAGCTCTCAATTTTAATTGGAATGAGGCTCAGTTTCAAATCTTGTCTTGTGTTTTCACAACCAATTTATGAAAAACTCCAATAAAACCAATTGAATTTTTAAGATAAAGTCAGGGATTTTTCAGCATATCCACTGCATCAGGCTGTATGTTATCATTTCAGTGATGATGTAATTGAGTCTGGTGGGAAGTGTAACCATATTTATCTTGTTCAGTTTGTGGAACTATGCCTATAATTGGTAACTTATATAATCCAGTATGCTACTAAAATAAAATGAACAATAACGTAACTATTAATTCAGTAAATAAAGTGTTTTTTGTCTACAACATTTGCAACATTTAAGGAAACATTTTGATGGTGTTAATGATGTCAATCATTTAAAAAGCTCATTTGTGATATAACAGTACAATCATACTATAAAATAGTAATAAGAGGACAATAAGAAAGGAATTAAACATGATGGTTAGGTGCTGTTATAGGAGAATAATCAGCGATGGGGTGGTGTGTTGGAGACCACAGTTGGCTGTTTTCTGATAAGTGCACATGCAAGAGTGTTTTATTCCTTTTATACCACAGCAATTTGCCACTATGAATTTTCCAGTAATTAAAAATAAATGGCCATGTTGTCTATTAAATTTTACATTTTACACAGTTATATCAGGTATACACATTCACTCCCACATCAGCCTCTTCTTAAATCTCTCTTGAAGTTAATAACACAAGAATTCAGCTCACCATGTTACCGAGTAACTGGAAAGCCCAAATCCCTCCATCCTGAACACTCCATCAGTTACAAAGTGCTGACACTGGAGACTCTTTCCATTAATGTTACATAAATGTCTCCTCACAAAAATTTATGTTTCACCATATCAATGATTACAGCATTTTTTTTATAACAAAAAGAACTTGTCTATTATTACATTTAGTTTACATATGTTGAGCACCTGCTATGCTGTGCTGTTATAAAATTAAATAACACCTTCCGAACAATCAGATTCCAGAACTCAGAGGCAAAACTGTGGTTCAATATGCAAATGACATGCTGTGTGTAAATATCACAGTTTTATTCCATCAAATGAAATATTAAAAATTTGAATAGTGTTTCCAAAATAAATTATTTGTTTGGAATTTCAAACAGAAACATGACCCCTGCTTGAGAAAAGAATTTATGTGTACTTTTTTCTATATAATATACAATAGATGTTCATAACAAGGTGCATATATCTAATGGCATCTTCTCCAGATTTGGACCAAAGTATTTATTTCTACAACTAAATAGCTTAAAATTGTACATAAACAGCACACTCATGACCAAAAGATTTGTTAGGGTTAAAAGCAGCTCTGTGGTTCATTCCCATTTAATTAGATCATTCTGTGATCATTACTGACTGACGCTTTGGGAGAAACTTTTAGCCAGCTTTAAACTCACACTCTCTGATAGAAAGAGATGCCGACAGCTTTGAAGTGTGTGTTTCTGGAGCATGATGACTGCAGGGTCGTTTGAAGTTTGGCGTTACAATTGAATTACATCATGCTCGGCAGTGAAAAAGCACCTGCAGTTTGAAAGCAGAGATGTTAAATAAATGAAATAAAATAAGGAATTTGGTGATACCACTCACCTCGCTATCAAATAAAGATGCTATAAGATGTAATGTTTAAAGACTAATAGTTAAAGGATGTGTGTGTGTGTGTGTGTGTGTGTGTGTGTGTGTGTGTGTGTGTGTGTGTGTGTGTGTGTGTGTGTGTGTGCATGTGTATATTTCATCAGTGCACAATTGTGTATTCCAATTCATAGTGGAATACATTTGTGCATTTTATTATTGTGAAGATTGTGTGATTGTCCACTGATGCAATTACTGGTTATTATTCAGTTATTCATTTTAAATCATATTATTTGTGACTATGAATTATTCAGTAACTAAACTGAAACAAATAGGAAATATGCAACGGTGCTTGAAAGTTTGTGAACTTATATATTTTCTGTATTTCTGCATAAATATGACCTAAAACATCACCAGATTTGAACACAAGTTCTAAAAATAGAAAAAGAGAACCCAATTAAACAAATGATACAATAATATTATATTTGATATTTTTTTTATTGAGGAAAATGATCCAATATTAAATATCTGTGAGTGACAACGTTTTTTTTGCTTTTATATGTATATTTAATATGTATTGTTAAGTTGCTTTCAGTATCTGGTGTGACCCCCTTGTGCAGCAATAACTGCAACTAAACATTTCAGGTAACTGTTGATCAGTCCTGCACATCGGCTTGAAGGAATTTTAGTCCATTCCTCAGTAAAGAACAGCTTCAATTCTAGGATGTTGGTGAGTATCCTCACATGAACTGCTTTCTTCAGGTCTTTCCACAACATTTCTATTGGATTAAGGTCAGGACTTTGACTTGACCATTCCAAAACATTAATTTTATTTTGCTTTATACATTCTTTGGTAGAATGACGTGTGTTTAGAGTCATTGTCTTGCTGCATGATCCATTTTTTCTTAAGATTCAGTTCACAGACACATGTCCTGACATTTTCCTTTATAATTCGCTGTTATAATTCAGAATTCTTTGTTTCATCAATGATTTCAAGTCATCCTGTCCCAGTTGCAGCAAAACAGGCCCAAACCATGATACTACCTCCAACATGTTTCTCAGACAGGATAAGGATGTTATACCATTTAACTGCTTAAAGCGCCACATTGTGTTGTTGAGTTTAAAAATAAGATATGTACACAGCCACTGTGTGTATGTAGGTACTCATGTAATATATATTTGGAAAGCTAAGATTTGACTCATCTAAATTGTTTCAAGATACATTCACAACAGCAGCTACAATCAACATCTCGGTCAGACCACCAACATACAAACAAACCTACAAATTTAGGCAACTCACATATGAAGCCTCATAGTAGTCCACTGATCAATAACATCCCAGCAAAAACAGTCTTGTTACAATGGCAAAGGTCCAAATAATCCAACCAAGTAAATTGTTTTTAGTCCAAAACGCATTATTACTTCAATAAACACCCACGTACTTCTGCATCATTTCAAATTACCGGCAGGTATGCCTAATGTTTCATGTATTCTCCATTATAACATTGATTCACTTGTAAACATTACAGGTGTTTTTACATCAAAGTGGCCGCTGCACTCTGACCTTTCGAATGACACCTCATTTCAACCAATGGAAGCTTCCATGCTTTTAGAAGACTTTAGGTAACTCATGTAAGACAGCATGCTACTAAAATGAAATGGACAATAACTTAGCTATTAATTCAGTAAATAAAGTGTTTTCTGTCTGTAACATTTGTGCAGTTAACCATTTAAAAAGCTCATTTGTGATATTGTGACATAGGAAAATATATCACAATTAAAAATACAATTAAAAGAAATTTTTTTTTAGTATTTTTATCAAATTTGAACTTGGACTAGGCAAGCTTCATGCTGTGGTCCCATTATGTTTTCCAGTTAATAGCTCCCTCCAAAAATTGGTGGAAAAAACCCTTCTATTTCAGTGTGTTCAAACTTCTATTACTCAATACCAGTAGCACATACAGTGATTCTGACTTCTGGGGGAAGAACTGAGTGTCACCTTTCAAAAGAGACCAAAACCATGCATGTACTCCATATTGTTCAAGAACAGCTTTAATTTTCCTTTGGGTATGCCTTGGATAGGTGTTTTAGACTAATTTTACAGGATTGTTAAGTGGTTAATCCAGTAATTTCTATTTTGGTCTCATCCCTCCCCAAAACATTTTTCCTGTAGCCTTCTGGCTTGTCCACATGATCTTTAGCAAACTGCAGAAGGGCAATAATGTTCTTTTCCAGCCTGATGGGCATCAGCAACTCTTTTTCTGAGGTCCTCAGAACTCTCCATTGTTCATGCCATGATACACTTCCACAAACATGTGTTGTGAATATCAGACTCTGATAGATCTTTAAATAAAACTGGGTGCTCACTCACACCTGATTGTCATCCAATTGATTGAAAACACCTGACTCTTATTTCACCTTCAAATTAACCTCTAATCCTAGAGGTTTACATTCATTGTGCTCAATACATAAATTACTATATATAATAATTTTGTATTATATATATTATTACAGTATTACATGAAGTAGTTTTTCTTTATTGTTGTTGCTGTATTTTTACCTAATTGTGTATAGTTTTTGCCAGTCCTAAGTGTCTCCTATAGTAATAACACTCTTGGAGAGTGTTGTTTAATGTCTTTTTGTTAGGAAATACTGTACTGTAAATAGCATTTTAATTTACATGAAGTACTGTAACATAACCTTTACTACTGAGCAAAAAATAAAACACACACAAAACAACAACACCAAAAAAAAAACATTTTGTCCATGCTGATTACAAACAAATCTGTAAAACAACTTTTTTTTGTTCTTCCTAAAACCAATAAGAAAGGAACAACACAGCTTTTTTGTGTTTCGGTCAGCTGGTATTCTCTTCTATATCCAAAAGCAAAGCAGTTGCTCAGTCTGTTTGAGGCTCCACTTTTATGATTAATATTTAGCTGTATTTATGTCAATCCATAATCACAGATGTGCAGTTTTCTTTTTAAATCATATTCAACTTCACAGTGCACAAAATGAAGCTTTTATGCTGTACAGAGCTTCAGACTCCTCCAGGCTCTTAATCAGAGGCGAAGCAGCATTGCACCACGTGG